ATGGAAGTGCTTTTACAGGGCGGCAGCCGAATCTGTCTATAACCATTCCCGCTCCCTAAAACACCCTGTGTGGCAGGCAATTTACGCCAATCGCCCCCTTTTAGAGGCACTTTCACTCGTCTAGACGCCTTCCACATGTGCGTTTTGAGCCGCTTTGCATCCAGCCGCCTTCGTTGCTTCGCCGATCACTGCATGGTGATAGAGGCGACTCGACTGGGGGCCGTTTGGGCGCGTGCCAACTGCTGATGGGCGGGCAGGACGCCCCATCGCCCCCCAACCCGAGGGGCTAATTTTTGGTTTTTTTCGCAAATTTGGAAACTTCCAGCCGTCGATCGCTGGCTTGATAGACGTCGCGCGGCTTTGGCGTCGCTCAGGCGTCGACCTCCCCCGACAGTCGGCTGTTTCGCGATAAATACATCGGATTGGGCGGCGGACGCGGATGCAACGTTTGGGTCGCAGCAAAGTTGCCCAGTCATCAGGCCCATTACTGAGTTTGGACCCTTTTAGGCCCGTTTTCCCACGTCTGGGATGATTGATGGATGGCGTCGTTTCCCCATCCCCCCATTATCGGTTCCGCGGACGAAAAGGTGGATGCATCTTCTGCCCCTCCACCCCCAAATATGCGCAGTGGGCGGCGGCAAGGGGGGTTTCTTGGCAAGACATCGCGCTTCATAACCCAACCACGCCACTGGGCGGCTCAATTGAATGGCAAAAAACATCTTTATGATGGCGCAATTTGCCTTCCAGAAACCGCTTTTCTTTGGAAATTTTCGCAACCCAATAGAACTGCTCACGCCCTCTCTTCGCCAGTGGACCAAGTAGGAACAATTCCTGCCTACCCAAGAACGGTAGTCACTGTCGATACTTCCTCTGTATACAGGGTGTCCTACAGAGAACACGTAAAAAATACTCTTTTAAGCCAATGGATAGGACGTAGATACTTGGTTCTATTAGTCCTCAGCCAGTGAACAGCCAGTTTAGAGACGATTTTTGACAGATTTTCATGCAGGCGAGTGCACTTGAAACTTAAGACGAAATTTTTTGCCAAGTGATTTTTAATATTTTTTGACAAGGAAACTGTATGAGTCGGATATATAGGGGGTACCGTTTAAAATAAGCAAGTTGATACCTACTTCCGGTACAACCGGATTTTGTAATTATTTTAAACCGCTTGCCCCCAATGACTTCGGCACACTGTCCAATTTTCACATTTCCCGTTAATACAGTTTTCCAGATATCGATCACGGCGGTTCCCGGTGAAACACCCTGTATATTTGAGACGAATCAGCGTGAATCAGCGAATCGATCCAAGTCGCGTCTACAGGTCTGAGCGGTGCGGAAAGAGCGGACGCTCGCATACAGGGAACATTCGTGGCACGCCAGTCGGTCGTACAACACTTTTGAACGAGCTTTTCTGCGAGCAGATGCGATGTAAGCGCGATTTTCCGCTGTTTTCCCCAAGCGTCATTAAAAGTGCATCATCGAGTGCATAGCCACCTCGGACGGTAAGTGACTTTTGTCTTAGGAAAGTTGCTGTTTGGCGACGTTCCTTTGTTTGGGCTCTAAAGCGCCAAACCATCAAAAGGTCTTCTACCTGCACCAAAATTCAGTCTTTTTCTTCTATTTTACTTTCTCTATGGTGCATGCATTGGGGCTCTTAACACCCGAACCGGGAACCGGCAAATTCCTGGCCAACTTCGAGGTGAAACCGATAAATCGGCGATTTTCCGCGTTCCATCAATCCGCAATCGGGCAAAATGACGCAATCCGCCGCAGCATTAGCAGACACAAGCCATCTACTCTATACAGCAACTGCATGATAGGATCACATGGTACAGACCAGCAGACGAGTGCTGCGATTGCACAATTCGCAAATTCGATTGCTTTTGCCGGATTTAATTGGCTGGACGAATGTTGGATTGATTAGACTTTGAAAGTGGTGCTCCATGGACGCACTGCACTAATTTCGGGCCAAAGATCAACAAAATTGACAATTGATGCTGATTTATTATTATTGGCCGAGTGTTTTTTTTCCAAACAAACTCGCCAACTGCTGTTACCAGGCCGGAGTACGCGACTAGACCTCCTAGACCAAAGAATTTGTTGCCAGCAATGCGAAGGTTGTTGGCTTTTGGCGCCGTTTTTCTTCTGCTGCCCGTTTTTTTGTTCTCAAACTGTCCGATCAGGCCTTAAGACTCCCAGCCCAGACTCAAAAAATGTTTTCGCGTCACACACTCTTCGAATCAAATGACGTCAAGAGTGTGCAGTCTCAGTGTCAAGTGGCGTGGACTTGAGCAATCAACCAACTGTTTTCCGTGTAATTATAAACTACAGTACTCTAGCGCGAGAAAGATAAGGACAATGTTATCGCCTAATGGGTTTTGGCAATATTTCGATTGATTGGCTGGCGGTTTATCTGATGTGTGAACTGATTCAGCATTCAGTAGTTTGTGGGTTGCAGGAAGAGGCTGAGGGCATGAGATAAAGTGCGCCAGTGGCGTCTACCAGGTGAACGAGAGCAACATGGATCCCATAGGGTGAGCGCGCGACAGCCACATTTACGCAAACCGTTACTGATCTGTGTGTCTTTTGTTTTCAGCTCCAGCTGCTTCAACCTCCAGTAAGTATCCACCTGTGTTTGGTACACACTGTATATGTGAAATTTTCCATTCCGAACAACAATCAAAGGCCAAATTCAGTTTCAAGGCACTTGGAAATTCCGAAACCACTTCATTAGTGCGCTAATGATTTCCACTTGCGCAGTGGAATCCTTTTCCTTGGATAGACACTAAAAATGTTGTTTTGTGCAGGCTCGAAAACGAGCGAGCCAAAAAGGAAGAAGAGGAAGTGCTCAAAAATGACAAACTAGCGGAAATCCTCTGCAGCGTCCGCTCCCTGACTAAATATGAGGGCCGCTCGTTGCGTTCCCTCTGCCCACAGGTGAGTCCCCACCCCCCCAATCCCGGCCACCAGATCAGTTTGACGCCCCCGTGCGCTTCCAGATCACCGCAGCGTCGATCGCCGCCTCCTACCACATCGTGGTCGGCATTGGGTTCGCCTACTCCGCCATCCTGATCCCCAACTTGAGCCTCAATGGCACCAACTCCACCGACGGCCAGATCAGCGCCACCAAGACGGAGTCGTCCTGGATCGGTAAGCATTCGCCTTGGCAACGAGTTTGCTAACTGAAACCATGACCTGACTTTCAGCCAGCGCCATGGTGATTGTGGCCCCCATTGGCGGAATCTCGGCCGGATTTGTCATGGACTGGATTGGGCGGCTCAACACCATCAAGCTGGCCCTGATCCCGAGCGCCATCGGTTGGGTGCTGATCGCGATGGCCTCGAACGTCCCCATGTTGATCATCGGACGGATCTTGACCGGATTCGGCACCAGTAAGTCCCAGTTAGAGTCCCAGAGTCGTTCACTTCTGAGCCTGATTTCAGCGTGGGGAAGCAGCCCGGCCACGGTTTACATCACGGAAATCGCCCGCGCCGACATGCGAGGCTCCCTGATCTCTTTCGCGCCCGCTTTTGCCTCCCTAGGTAAACCCGCTGAGGGCCAGTTGAATTCCAACTCACTCACTCACTTGCAGGAATGATGCTGGCCTTCCTCAAGGGCTGGCTGATGCATTGGCGTACGGTCGCCTGGATGTGTCTGGGCTACTCCATCGTGCCCGTCATCCTCATCCAGCTTTTCATCCCGGAAAGTCCCGCCTGGCTGGTGTCTCGCGACCGCATCGAAGAGGCGGCCAAGGCGCTGCGCTGGCTGCACAGCAACCAGCCGCAGCCGGAGCAACGGGTAAGTCAACAGTGGCTGGTTGGGGGCTGGTCAGACTGACTGACTGGTTGCAGCCCGAGACTCTGGCGGAGCTGCAGCTGCACCTGCTGCAGCGGGAGCACCAGATCAAGCAGGAGGAGGCGCTGAAGAACGGCACTGGGTTCCTGGTGAAAGTGAGGCAATTCCTGCGGCCCACCGGCTACAAGCCGTTGATTATTCTGTTCGGGCTGTTCTTCTGCCAGCAGTTCTCCGGAATCTACATTACGCTGTTCTATTCGGTGACCTTCTTGGAGGTGAGCGGAGGGTGGGCGAGTGCGGGGCCGAGTTCAAGCGCGCAATTCGCCTGTTTCAGTCCATCGGATCGTCCACCAATCCGTACCTGGCCTCGATCATGATCTGCACGGTTCGCTTCATCATGTCCTGCATCAACACGTACATGCTGCGCAGCTTCCATCGGCGCCCCCTGATCATGACCTCCGGCGTGGGGATGGCGCTCTGCATGGGTTTCGCCGGCTTCTTCTCCAAATGGATCATCGAAGGCAGCTCGGACATGAGGTGGGTGCCCACCATGCTGCTGCTCTTCTTCGTCATCACGTCCATGATTGGCCTGCTGCCCATTCCGTGGACGATGACGGCCGAACTGTTCCCGATCGAGATCAGGGGCGTGGCCCACTCGATTGCCTACAGTGTCAACAACTTGATCATGTTCGCCTCGATCCAGTCCTTCTACACGTTGGAGGACTGGTTTGGAGGCATTGTGGGCGTGCAATGGTAACCTGATCATCGCGCAACTACGTGGCTGGATCTTGATCCCAACCGTTTTTTCGAAGGTTCTTCGCGGCGATCTCCCTGCTGGCCACCGTCTACACGTTCATTTTCCTGCCGGAGACGCACGGCAAGAAGCTGTCTGAAATCACCGACTACTTTGTGCACAGTGGCGCGTTCTATGTGCTGTCGAAGGAGCGCAGCAAGCCGAAGAAAGCCGCCACCAGTAGGGCGCCCAGGAAAAACATCGTGAAACACGGTGACCCCCTATTGGCGGACGGTCAGCGCCAATAACCCACCCCCCGCCCCCCAACCAATAGCTTTAGGAGCGACAGTATTTATTTTTCTACAGCGAAAATACGGGACTTTTTTACACGAAAAAACCGAAAGGAAGGGACATGTTGTGATACAGATCAAACGCCTTAGTGAGTAAAAACTCGTCAATTCCAAGCAGGCGTTTTATTTCACTTCAAGTTGGCGAGCTCCTTTTTGAAGTGGGCGGGCAAAACAAAGGCGGCTTGATGCACCTCGGGGCTGTAGTAGCGCAGCCCGAGCTCCTCTAGAGGGTGACGCGCGTGGGTGAGATCCAGATCGGGGTCCAGCGCGGCCACCAAGTACCCGATTTGGCCGTTGGGGTAGGTGGGGACGCTCGAAACTGCATACTCGACCAATGGGAAGTGAGTCTGGCAGTTCCGGATGGTCTGCTTCACATGAGGCAGGTCAGACCAGAGCGTGCCGGCTTGCGAGCAAATCACCCCTGCAACCCACAGGTTGCACAACTGACCGGCTGCACAACGGCCCGGATGGCTTACCGTTCGGCTTCAGGGCCGTCTTCAGCAGGCCAAAGTAGCTTTCGGTAAACAGGTTGACGGCGGGCCCCACAGGGTCCGAGGAGTCGGTGATGATCACATCAAACTCCCGCTGGTGGTTCTTCATGTACTCGAAACCGTCGCCCACCACCAGAGTGAGCTTGCGCGACTCAAACCCCTTGGCCATGAAGGGCAGATGCTTTTTGCTCTGCTCGATCACCAGGGCGTCGATCTCCACCTGATCCGTTCAATTGGTTTGCGTACAGTTAGCATATGGGAGTGGGAATGTTCACCTGAACGAACTGCTCGACGGCGGGATGTTTGGCCACCTCGCGTGCCACCCCTCCATCCCCACCGCCTACAATGAGCACCTTCTGGGGATTTAGGTGGGCGCCCAGTGGCAGGAAGGCGATCATTTCCTGATAGGAGAACTCATCCGATTCGGTGCACTGGATGATGCCGTCCAGGATCAGGGCCTTGCCGTGATTGGTCCTGTTCCAAGTCTCCCATCAACTTTGCCTTTTCTAGTCAAAGAACCCGATTACTCACGTGTCGACGACCAGCACATCCTGGTACAGGGACCGTTGGTGAAACAGCACCTCCTTCACCTTCAAGGAGAGGCTCTGGCCAGGCCACAAGTCGGACACCTCGCTGAACCATCCGGCTCTTATTAGGTCCATGTTGCTGACTGAAGCCTCTGGCTCACGACTTAACATTGACCGGCTGAAGGCCTGTTATCGTTTGGGGGTCAGGGTCGCCCGATAAGAAACCCAGCCATCGGGCTGCTTGATAAGCCATAGTGGGCCCTGATAACAACCGCCTATTGACTACGCCCTCACCGGCGATCGTCGTCTGTTCACGTGATTGCACTAGTAGTGATGAGCAAGACTGGTCTTGGCCATGCAAGAAATGCAAGACCAAGACTTATTATTATTATTAACAAATTAAAAAAATAGTTTGAGATTTTTTGCTGCTTCGTATTGATTAGTATGATCTTGTATTTCATTTCATTATTATTGTTATTATTGAACTTGTTTCGTCTAATGTTGCCGTTTGATATACAGGCAACGGCCTAATGGAAACAGTAAACCGAATTAAGAACGCTAACTGTACCAGTGGCGCGCTAATGGGCTGAGCCAATAAAGCATGGCAGGGCCCGCTCAGTCTTGGCGCGCTCCTCATCAATATCGCTACATTCCAGAATGCGTCCCGTTTTACTCCTGACGGGCGTCCTGCTGGCAGTTTCGGCCGCAAACGACCCGCATTCCATCACCAAGCGCTCCTTCTACCTGCTCTTCCCCAAGGGCGCAGTCCTTCAGGTAACTGCCCAATCGAAGCACTTGATGAGCGCTTCGCCACAATCGCTCCACCTCTTGCTTGTTTCAGTTCACCTACGGCTTGACGGTGCCCTTTGTGCTGCCCCGCAGGTCCATCAATCTCACCTGGGGCTTCCAGGCGCAGTTCAACCTGCCCAGCAGCCTGTCCAACTTCTACCCCACCACCATTGACGTGCGCTCCAACTCCTACTGGTTCGACTTGCCTCGCGTCAAGTTCTACCAGTATCTGTCCAAGCTGCTGGACAAGTAAGTGACGTTGTCAAGTTGTGCCAAACCCGGCAGCTTTCAAGGATTTTGTTGCATTCGAGAGCAGTTTCGGCCTGAATGGGGAGCAGTGCGTGCTGAGGTCCTGCTGCGAAGTTGCCGAAATTCCGATGTACGACCGCGAGGACTCAGTGCTGGAGAAAATCGTCCAGTACCTATTCACGTAAGCGATTCGAAGCCACAAAGCGCTCATTTTTCGCATAACGAGAGCGTTTTCTAGGCCGTCAATCGAGTTGAGTTTGAACGCCAGCTCCGAAAGCGTGCAAGAGCCTGAGGACGCCCTGACCAAGAAACTTCTCCAGGCTGAGGAGCTGGGCAAATCCCAAGGGGGCTGCGATGACCAGTACTCGAACTGCATAATGTCGATTGTGGACTTAATGACTGTATTATACGTCACTTAACTGGAGCATGCAGTCGTTTTTTTGAACCCCCCCGTAAAGGTGGCGAAGCCATCGAGATTCCGCTCCCCATTATTCGCGAGTTACTACTAAACCAAAAAAACTAAATGGCCTTCATTCGAAGTTTCCCAAGAACCATTCGAGCCACAGAATTCGTTTTGGCATCGTTGGATAGAGAATTGAATGGGGGGGGGGTCATGACCTCCAGGACCCCTCCCCTGGATCCGCCCTTGTGTGCTACCCCATGCCCTAACCGAGCTGCCACAAATGCCTGCTTGGGACGAACTCATAGACCACTCTTCATCATTGACTGGAAGGTGGATGCGGAAGCCGCCATCAAGTCTTCCAGCCTTGGTACCAGCAAAGAGGGGGAGCGTCTTGAGCGGTCGCGGCAAACAATGTTTTTCGCGGCTCGACCCGTACAGTAGATACCGGACCAACTGGGTCGAGACGGTAGTTTGTGCAGTGTGAACCAAGGTAAGCAGCACGCGCCACAAGAGAAATGCGCCAAAACCTCAATTGTTGTGGCACAGATAATGCGGGCCTTACAAGCTGCACACGCTTCTCGCCTTGATCCCCCCAATTAATCAGTGCTGAGTCGCGCTCGGAATCGGGGGCCATAAACAGGCTGATAAGTGCGCCCCAAGGTTGCAAGCCATCAATCATTACCTTGCCGACATGTAAATTTTGCATTTTGTGATTACTGCGATGTTTGCGAAAGAATTATCGGTCTCTCTTCAGGTATGAATTTGGCATTGCTGGAGGCGCCGCCGCCGCCGCCACCACAACCAAAACCAATGGCCACATGCGTCAATTCGCAACAAATTGTACAAATAATCATAGTTTTCCGGCTGTTAGTGTCGCCAAATTAACCGTTCGTGCATTGATTGAGATCTCCCTCTCCTCCTCCTTGAGCACTTTGCAACCATTTAATCAATTCGGAATGACGAAATACCGCAGATGTCATTGTATGGCCGAGATAAGTCGCCTTTATTGTTAAATGTTTATCAGTTTTTTTGTCCCCTTTCGGAGCCACTCATGAAATCCTCCAGTGTTTCGCTAATTGATATTAGAGATTGGTTTGTTGCGGCGCAAAGGTCGGTGGTACCTTGGGCGGGTTCCTTAACGCGCGCCTCTCGGCCCTCAATTAATCATCGTTACATTCTGTTTCAGATGTCGACGAGAATCTTCAAGCTATTGACCAGGCGCAAGACGGACGCCGGCGACACCGTGAGCGAGATGGCGCGCTGCCTCAGCCTCCTGGACCTCAGCGCTCTGGGGGTGGGCGCCACTCTTGGCTTGGGCGTCTATGTTCTGGCTGGATCCGTGGCGAAAACAGTGGCCGGCCCCGCAGTCTGTCTGTCCTTTCTGGCGGCCGCAATCGCCAGCGCCTTTGCCGGTAAGTCAGTCAGTCAGTCCGTCCGTGCCGTTGCCAGTCCACAAGCAGGCGTGTGCCCTTCTGTACAGGGGTGTGCTATGCAGAGTTCGCGGCCCGAGTGCCCAAGGCCGGCTCCGCGTACGTCTACAGCTACGTCACCGTAGGCGAGTTCATCGCCTTCGTCATTGGCTGGAACCTCATCCTGGAGTATGTGATTGGTAAGCACTGCAGCCGACGTTCGAGTGCCATTCCTCATTCCATCCATCGTCCATTCAGGCACGGCCAGTGTGGCGCGCGGACTCAGCAACTACATCGATGCGCTCGCCACAAATCGGATCAGCGTCACTTTCCGCGCCTGGCTGCCCATGGACGTGTCCTTTCTGAGTCAGTATCCGGACCTGCTGGCCTTCCTACTGGTCCTGGTGCTAACGGGTAAGATGCCGTTAAAGCTTGGCATTTCTGCCTTGAAATCGCCTGCACGAATTGGTGGCGTGATCACGCAACCAGCTGGCCAGCTGAGCGCTTGATGGCCAGTTCGTTGACCAGTGAAAGTCCCCAATTGACTTGTGCAGACGTTTCATGCAGGTGGGTTGCCGAGAGCCTGTGGCGCACTACATGAGCTCTCGCTTTGGCAGGACTGCTGGCCTTTGGCGTCAAAGAGTCCTCGATGCTGAACAACATCTTCACCGTGCTGAATCTGCTCACAGTGGGCCTGGTCATCGTATGCGGATCCATTAAAGGTCGGATGGGCGCGCCGTTTTTGGATAATCCTGTTTCTCACCGGCCCAGCTGTTTCAGCGGACACCAACAATTGGAAGCTGCCGGCAGTGGAGGGCTATGGAACGGGCGGGTTCATGCCCTATGGAGTGGCGGGGGTGATGGCGGGCGCGGCCAAATGCTTCTACGGCTTTGTGGGGTTTGATGCGGTCGCCACCACTGGCGAGGAGGCCAAGAATCCGCAGAAAGACATCCCCCTGGCCATCGTCATCAGCCTGCTCATCATCTTTGGAGCCTACTTTGCCGTCTCCACCGTGCTCACTCTGATGCTGCCCTACTACGATCAGGTAGGTGTGCGCTGGCGTCCGTGCCTGCGAAGTGCCCCGTTGAACACGGCTTGCCCCCGACCAGAATGCGGACGCCCCGTTCCCGTACGCCTTCGACCAAGTGGGCTGGACGACCGTCAAGTGGATCGTCACCAGTGGGGCGGTGTTCGCTCTTTGCACCAGCATGTTGGGCGCCATGTTCCCCTTGCCGCGCGTCATCTATGCCATGGCCAAGGACGGCATCGTGTTCAAGCCGCTGGGCCGCGTGCATCGCTGGACGCAGACCCCACTTGTCGCCACCATCCTGTCGGGCATCTTCTCCGGCTTCATGGCCATGATCTTCGACCTGAACCAGCTGATCGACATGATGTCCATCGGCACCTTGCTGGCCTACACCATTGTGGCCGTGTGCGTCTTGATCCTGCGGTGCGTCCTCCACTTGTGCTCACCATCCGATCAGATGGTTTAACTTTGCGCCCACGCAGGTACCAAGTGGACGGCGACCAAGTCGTCAAGAGCCTCGACACCGATGAGTACCCGGCCACATTCTACAGCGGCTTCGTGGACATCTTCAACCTGCACAACAACAAGGAGGCGAACGTGCGCTCCTCTCGGATAGCCAACTGGAGCGTGGCCATCTTCAGTGAGTTTCTCCGGCTCGCGGCTATCGCGACGACCGTTTTGTTTGCGTTGCAGGCATCTTCGCAGCGCTGCTGGCCGCCATCATCATTCACGTGCCCACGCTCATCTTCTCCGAGCCCTTCTACTGTGTGGGCTTTGTCATCAGTCTGGTGGCCATGCTGGCACTCGTGGTGGTCATTGCGCGGCAGCCCGTCGTCGATGTCCATCTCACCTTCAAGGTTCCGCTCGTGCCCTTCATTCCCTGTTTGAGCGTCTTTTTCAACCTCTACCTCATGCTCGAGCTGGACCTGCACACCTGGATCCGCTTCCTCGTCTGGCTCATTATCGGTGGGTGCCCACTTATTTCGCTTGGCTTAACTGTCTTCAGCTTATGCAAATTGATACGCTCGACGCGTTTTTACATCGTCGAAAATGTCAACAAACTGGTCTTCAAACTTTCTAATGCCGGCCTAATGCGCCACCAACTTTTCCCCACGTTGTTGGGCTGTTTCGCGACGAAATGTTAGATACTCTTGCGGTATCGAAAGCCAAACTGACTTCAACAACTTGTGAAAAAGTCAGTAGTGTCTGACCGGCACAAGGTGGTTTATGTGTTGCAAGTATTTACGCTGGTGGTGGCGGTGTTGGTTCGAAGCGAAAAGGCCCGCGCTGGACGCACGCATGCTGTTGCAGGATTCCTGATCTATTTCTGTTATGGAATACGAAATAGTGTGGAAGGCCGCAAACGGAACTCGCAGCAGCTGCAATTGGAGGAGCGCAAACCGGACTCGTATTCGCCCTACAACCCCGAGTAGTTTGGCTCACCGGCACCAAGGGCGCCAGCTTCGAATAGTACAATTCTTAGGTTAAGTAGTGGCTTTTCACTGAGTTTTAGTACGATGTGATTGCAAACGTGGTTACCAGTCTCCCTCCCCATTGCCAACTTTGTACCTTATCGTAAGAGAAAGCCCGTCATTAATGAAGCCATTCCATTCCGTTTTTGTGATATTCCCCAACGTTGTACTTATAGTTTTACTGTTTAATTATTTCTAATATACTATTTTACGAAAGGGATTTGTCGCGGCTTTATTAAAATTATCTATATATAATGTATCATAAAATGATGCGAAATTGGACCTATTGGCGGTGAAACAGAAAAGTTGTTCGAAAATCAATTGACAACTTTCTCAATCCGTCAAGTTGACATTGATCAATTAAATTACGGTACCATTAAATTATCATTGTCAGTGGTCTGCCAATCTATAATAAGAATAAATCTATTCATGTTTTCTGTGCCTTTCTTATTTGCTTTGACGTTCAGCACTAGTTCGTGGCTGACGAAAGCTACTTTGAGTTGACCTATTACTGAATGCTCTTCTTTTAGCACGAAATTGTTTTTGGCGTTCAGGCATTACTTAATGCTTTTCGCTTTGTGGCATGTTTTGTGACCTGATGAATGAAAAAACTATGAACGTCTGCTACAACTTGTATCTGCATAGGACCAAAACACACTATATGCATACATAATGTAAGCCATCGTGCGTATGTTCAAAAAAAAAACTGAACTAATCCAAGGCTAAAAAAATTAAACTAAATTGAGAAGATTTAATCATAAAGGAATCAAAGGGTGTGGTAGTGGGAGCCGCCGTTAAGGCTTGCCGTGACCGAGAAAAATCGGTTCACCCTCCCATAAAAAGTTATCACTTCAAAAATCTAGATGACTTTTTTACCAGTTTGAAGAAAATTGTAAAACGTTCCAACGGTATGTGAAAATTCCAGTCTCGGGTCTCGTAAAGCATGAATTCACTTTAATAAGTGAGTTATTAAGTTCATTCATTTATTAAGTGAGGCCCGGGAGCACCTAAAGAAAAGCTCACCCCATTTTTCATATTTTTCGTGCTGGGTTTGGGCGCGGTAAAGCTCTAGATTACCTGCAAGCGGGGTTAGTAGAACTTTTCAAGCTAACCTCGTACCTGTTGAACTATTTCTCGACAGGTAGGTACTGACTCACTAAAATAGATTGGCTACCGTTGCATTGGCTGGCATTGCATCATCCATTAAGCGAGCGGATTTTCACCTTACAGGTGAGGGTTGGGGTGCGCTTTGAATGTTCTGCGCGCTCGTGCAGGTCACCGGACGTCAGTCCAGGCCTGAGATGGACACAAAAGCCTTGGAGCATGGACTATTTGAAGCGCCTGATTGTTGGCAGACCGGCGAGCCCTCAAGCGTGTGGTCAGCCAGAATCGGCTGCTCTAAACGGCGTTTTTGCGCGCACCGCACGGCATTCCCGGCACTCACCAGTTCACTCAAGTCTGCTGCCATGTGCTCTGGACCAGACCAGTATTATTGGCTCCGTGCTTATTTATGAGTTTGGTTTATTATTTATTTCTAAGTGGTGCCACGCACTGATTGGCCGCGGCACTACCATCTGGCACCGAACGAACAGACGACGCCAATTGGACTCAATTAGCGATGCCCATCATGGAGGAGATCCTGTACGTGTTCAATATCGGTAAGGGGTTTCCTCCAGCAGGTGCATGCGCGCCAGTGGTTTTTATCAGCAGCCCCACTCGGCAGATCCCAAGCAGAAGATGCGCGTGCCGTCCTGGTCGCAGGCTCACTCGGCGCTCAGCAGGAAAAAGCTGATTCTGCAGAGCGACGACACCAAGCTGGCCAAGGTACTCACCACCCTTGACTTGACCGCTCTGGGGGTGGGCAGCACTCTGGGCGTCGGCGTCTACGTGCTGGCGGGCGAAGTGGCCAAAACGACCGCTGGCCCAGCGGTCATCGTCTCCTTCCTCATCGCCGCCCTCGCATCAGTTCTGGCAGGTAGGAAATTTTCTTGGCATGTGCGCTCCTTATCAGTGCTGCCTGCTCAGCAAGAATCTAGCAGATAGTTCTGGTTTTAGGGCTGTGCTATGCAGAGTTCGGGGCGCGGGTGCCAAAAGCCGGCTCCGCCTACGTCTACAGCTACGTGTGCATCGGGGAGTTTTTCGCCTTTATCATTGGCTGGAACCTCATCCTAGAGTACCTGATCGGTAAGTGCTGGGGCAACCATAATATCTGCAGGAGGGTGTACTAACCGGTTACCGCTCCATCTGGCAGGTTCCGCTTCCTGCCTGAAGGCCCTCTTCCTCTACTTTGACAATTTGGCCAACAATTCCATGTCGCACTACTTCCAGCAGACCATGCCAATGATGGGCGGCCAAGTTGGCACCTACGCCGATATCTTCTCGCTGGTCCTCAGCATCATTTTCGCAGTGGCTTTGGCTTTCGGCGCCAAAGAGTCCTCGCTGGTCAACAACGTGTTCACGCTGGTCAACATCTGCATTGTGCTGCTGGTGATCGTTTCTGGAATCTTCAAATGTGCGTATTGTTTCCGGTGCCACTAAGCCAGGCTGACATTAATCTTGACATCGCAGCCGACCCGAACAACTGGAGCCGGACTGCACAAGAAGCGATGGGAGTTGGCCTGGGGGGCTTCGCCCCCTATGGCATCAAGGGCATCATCAAGGGGGCTGCCAAGTGTTTCTACGGCTTCATCGGGTTCGATTGCATCGCCACCGCTGGTAAGTTTGGTTTAAAATCGGCAGCAGAACAGGCGCTAATGCGTTGGCCTTGTGGTCGCAGGCGAGGAGGCCAAGACGCCCCAGAAATCGATCCCCATTGGCGTGGTGATGTCTCTACTAATTGTCTTTCTGGCCTACTTTGGCATGTCCACGGTGCTAACGATGATGCTGCCCTACTACGAGCAAGATACCACCGCCCCCCTGCCCCACGTCTACGACCAGATCGGCTGGACGACGGTCAAGTACGTCGTCAGCATAGGAGCCTGCTGTGGCCTATTTTCCAGGTAGGAGCACTGGTTTGCCACTCGTGGAACGGGTATTGACATGCGGTTTCAGCCTGCTGGGTGCGATGTTTCCGCTGCCACGGATCATCTATGCCATGGCCGCCGATGGGCTCCTCTTTCAGGCGTTGGCGCGCGTTCATCCCAAGTTCCAGACGCCCTTCACTGGGACGCTGCTGGCGGGCGCCGTCACAGGTGCGTCTCCTACGCGGTCAAGGCTCTGCCACGGCTTGCGCGCTTCTTGCCTCCAGGTATTCTGGCGTGCATCTTCGAGCTGAGCAAGCTGACAGAGATGATGTCGATCGGGACGCTGCTGGCCTATTCGATGGTGGCGGCGTGCGTCCTGGTGCTGCGCTACGCCCCCGATGCCAAAAAGTCTGACGCCGACGACACGGTCACGCTGCGCTCGTTGTTCAAACGCGCCGACACCAGCTATCCAACACGCGCCACTTCCGCCATCGTGTCCTGGATCATCATCATCTTCTGTAAGGCGACAAGGGCACGATCACTGTCTGGAATTGACTCAAGATCACTGTTTCAGTCGCGCTGTGCTTTGTATTGTCCGGTCTGATGACCGGATTCGAGGACAGCCTGTATCGGGGTGAGCTGTGGCTGATTGGGAGCAGCGTCGCCATCGGCGCCGTGCTGGTTCTCTTGCTCTATTTGGTAGCGCAACAACCCACCTCCGACGTCAAGCTCGGCTTCACGGTGAGTACGGAACCAATCAATGTTGCTTTGGGGCTGCGGCTAATTGCGTGATCTGAAGGTGCCGCTAGTGCCCTGGATTCCCGGCGTCAGCATCTTTATCAACATCTACCTGATGACCAACATCAATCAGGACACCTGGCTGAAGTACGTCTACTGGATGGCGATTGGTAAGCATTCGTTGATGGTAGGGTGATCGCCCACTACACTGTTGCTTGTCGCTAGGGCTAGTGATTTACTTTACCTACGGGATTTGGCACAGCAAGGAGCGCTCACCGCCACTGACTGCCTACTGCGCAACACCCAAAACGAACGGCGACAGCACTTATTACGGTGCCACTGCGCCAGTGTTTGCTGAAGACCGTCTGTGAGATCCGCCCTAATTCTAAGCCTGCTCTTACCTCGCCCTTTTCTTATCCAAGCCAAAGTGAAATCCAATTGCGTTTTGCGTTTGTAAACCCACACTCCAAGTAAAAGACAAGTCTTGAAGACGGCACCTCAATCGTTTTATTAACATCTATTTACACTAGTTGATCGATATGTCTATAACGTATATTTACAATACAGCGTCAGTCAATCCTTTCATAATCTGAATAAAAGCCTCGCAAACTGTTGGGCAGTCCGTAAAAGCCGTAGACAGAAAAACCTAAAAAATGCAGTGTCGATCAGCAAGTGGACCGGGTTGGAGATTCCAAGCAAGCCAAGCCCTAACGGTTAACCTACAGATCAAGCCACAACGTGTTNGGCGCGCTTTACGATGAGTATTCAGAAAAGGGCGACAGATTCGTCCAACTAAGTTCTGTCGGGAGTGTCATTTTTTGCCGCATAGAAGCTGCGCAGCTTTTCGGTTGCGTCGCGACGGTCTATAGGCTCCTCCAGCACATTCTCATTGGGCGCGATCGGAGTGGGTGCCGGTGTGGGCTTGCTGGCGGGCACGTAGATGGCCGCCGAGACTGGCGACCGCTGTAACCGACTGTTCAGGTCTCGGATGAAGTTTTGATACTCGGCAGAGCCCACCTTTAAATTATTGTCGGACGCGTTCGGGTTACCTTCGGGCTCCAACTCTTTGAGCTGCGTTTGCACGTGTCGCAAGTTAACGGTTTTCAAGTAGTCGGCGCTGAGCACTGCCGGAATTGCCACTGGCGCCTCTTTGCCTTCATCGTCTGTAAACGGCTCAACGACAGCGACGGGTTCAGATGGCGGAATGGGCACCACATCGGGCTCCTCCCTCTCCATATCGTCAACATTGTCAACTGGTGGATCTTCATCTTCATCTTCCTGTGCCACTTCAACATTGTGAATCGGTGGTTTTTCAACTGCCTGTGCTACTTCAACATTATCAAGCGATTTCACATTGTCCAGGCCACTTGGTGCCTCCTCTGTTAATGGTTCTACTGCTTCGATTAGGTTGGGCGTCGAGTCGCCAATGCCCGAGTCCAGGGAAGGGGTGTCGGACAGAAGGTGAGGAATGGGTTCTGAGCCAGCAACAAGGGACACAACATCGGGACAATGTACATCAGCAACAACGCTTTCAGAACGGGACGCCACCGCCGACACATTGGACATTTTGCCACTGCAGTTGCTCAGACGATCCGCTTCTGTGTCCAGAACGCGGTCCAAGTGGGCCAGAGCGTCCTCTTGTTGCACCTCTAGCGGTTCAAGCATAGTCGGCGGTGGAGGCGCCGCCTTTTTCTTCGATTGGACGGCGCGCGTTTCTTGTTTTGCGTGCCCGTTGGTAAAGTTAGTCGCGTGTGATTTTGGCGAAGGTGTCGCCTTTGGAATGCATGCGCAAATGTAATACATGGGCAGGCCTGAGAATGACTTGGATTATATACAGGGTGTGGCCAGATCAAGCACCGGGCGAACGAGCTGGCGACTTACCCAGAGCCATCCACACGGCAAAGCGCACCCACGTGCGGTAGTCCAACATCAGCATCAGGTAGACGTTGACCAGGATGCTGATTGCAGGGACGAACGGCACCAGCGGCACCTTGAAAGACAGCGGGAGGCGAGACTGCGGCTGGGTGCCCATGGACAGCAGCACAATTGCAGTCAGGCCCACGAGGGTGGAAGTGAGGACGATGGCCCAGAGCTCGCCGCTGGCGATATACGATTGCAAGTAGATGGCACACACGGCCACGCCCACGCTTAAGAGGCCTGCAGCAGCAATGCCGTTCTGTTGTTAACAGTTCAATTGAAATTCATCTAATCACCGCTTACAATAAAGCAACACTTCGACTGCCACAATGTTCTGGGTGAGCTGCGAGGGCGATCGCACGCTGCAGTTGATCAGGTATTTCAGGGAGCGAGTGAAACTCGAACCGCCATTGATGCCACCATCCTGGTTGCCAACGGCTTGGAAGTTCTCCGAGTTGCTGTCGCCGTTATATCTGAGTAGGAGGACGCTGGCTGCCACTATAGTGTAGGCTTGCAGCGTCCCGATGGACATCATGTTGATCAGCTGATTGAGGTCGAACAGCGCGGACATCAGGCCTGTAATCAAACCAGCCACGATGCTGCCCACCACGGGAGTTTGGAAGCGCGGATGCACTTTGGCGAGAACTCGAAACACCAGCCCATCGGAGCCCATGGCGTAAATGATGCGTGGCAACGGGAACATGGCCCCAAACAAGCTAAATCACAGGGATACGTAAATCAGTGCATGCTTCCGGCAGTCAAGAGATCGTTTACCTGGCACAGAGCCCGAAGAGGGCTCCCACAACTACAATCCACTTGGCCCAGGTCCAGCCCACCGCTTCAAATGCGATGGGAATTGGCGCATTGATATCTTGCAAATAGTAGGGCACCATTAGCGTGAGCACCGTAGAAACGCCAAAATAGGCCAAGAATATGACTAACAACGAGACGATGATTGAGACTGGGATGGCTCGTCGCGGATTGCGCACTTCTTCGCCGGTGGTGGCAATGCAATCAAAGCCCACGAAGCCGTAGAAACATGTGGCAGCGCCTGTGTGTGAATGCGAGTGTCTGACATTTAGGTGCAAGTTGAATCGCCTTTGTTACCTTTAATCATTCCCTCGACGCCCCAGGGAAAGAATCCTCCTGCACCCATCACTGTAGCGTTGGTGCTATTTGCGGCGATGCTCCAGTTGGCAGGATCGGCTACGACCATTCATATCGTGATTATTAGGACAAAAAGCTGCATATTCGTAGGCGTACCTTGTAAAGAGCCGGCCACAATAATGAAGAGCACTACGGCGACATTCAGGCAGGTGACCACGTTATTGGCCATGCTGCTTTCTTTGAGTCCAAAAGCCAATGCGACTGCCAGCAGAATGGTTACGCCGAAGGAAAAGAAGTCGAAATAAGAGGCAAGATAGTCGACGTGAATGGGCGCAATTTGCCGAAATGTGTCCTGCATGGTGTTGTTGAGCAAAGTGTCGAGGTACAGACTGAGTCCTCGGGCTACACTTGCCGAACCTGTGAATCAACAAGTGCTAGCTGAAGGAGATTTTGCCAACTATTTGGTAGTGCCCCACCAATGATGTATTCGAGGATGAGGTTCCAGCCAATTACGAATGCCACGAACTCGCCCACACACACATAGCTGTAAACGTAGGCCGACCCGGCCCTGGGTACTCGGGCTCCAAACTCAGCATAGCACAGACCTGTAAAAAGCAACAAAATAACGGACAATGCCGATAAGGAATAGGATTAGGCTATGAGTCACTGAAATGGCACCTGAACTGAAAAAGCGACCAACCTGCAAACAGTGAGGCAATGGCAGCGAGAAGAAAGCTTAACACCACCGAGGGGCCCGCTGTAGTTCGGGCCACTTGCCCCGCCAACACATAGATTCCGACTCCCAGGGTGCTGCCCACTCCCAAGGCGGTGAGGTCAAAAGTGTTGAGCACACGAGCCAATCGCGACTCTTCTATCGCTACTGGATCCATGCTCTTTTTGCGAGTCATAACCGTCCAAATACGAGCCATCTCTAAGAGGACGCAGGCCTGCTTGTCGCTGATTGTGATGAGTCTGTTAACATACACAAAGTGATTGGAGGCTTCTATGGCCATGCACACGCTCACCCTATTTCTTATACAGGAGGCTACTAGTTTCTAGGTGCAGCAGTCACAACTGGAAGAAGGCTAGAACAATAGACTTTTTTTTAATGAATGAGTTTTACCCTAAATCAGATAAGCAGACTAAGTAAATATAACCCCACATGACAAACAGCTGCGACCAGCGTTGCCAGACCAAGAACTTCGAAAGTGGTAGAATGGATAAAAATCGAACGGTAGATAATTTAATGTCCTTAAATCTCTGTTTTTTAAAGGTACTTTATTTTGAAAAAACGTTTTTCAAAAACTTTATTGTAGTGGATCTTAGGCACAATTTTGTTGCACAACATCGATTGTTAGTTTTTAAAACAATATTTAACAGGCGTCCCAAGCCTCAGGCCTCAGGCGCGAAGAGGTCGGAGTGGCAGCCCCCGTTACGGCTCGCCGTGACCGAGTAAAATATGTTCACCCTCCCATATAAAGTTATCACTGGTTTTATATATTTGGTTATTATATGGTTTTAGAAGGTTAAAAAGGTATTGTGCTCCGGGCGCGAGTTAAGTTAAACTCGCTACGCCACTGCTACTATGCAAGGAATTCAATTCGCGTAGTTTTGCCACTCTCCACAACAATATAAAGTAAAAACTTACCAAATGATAGTAACTGTAAGCCCAAAACAGTGCAACCCTCGTGACAGAAACAGTGCAGTGCAGTGCAGTGAACGTAACAAAAAGGAAAAGGAAGTTTTGAAAATATAAAAAAAATGAGGGGCAAAGAATCGCATAAACGGCGTTAATTTGAAAAGACAATATTTAAAAATGGGTAATTCCAGGATACATCTGGGCGACAGTAGCCCAAAAAATGTGAAGTCGTTGCGTGTGATCAGGATAACGCATCTTAAATAAAGCCTCAGCCAAATAGCCCAAATATGAGTCCTTTTTACGGCCAAACCTAGGAATCAACTTCCTCACTTCTACCCATTTTCGCTCAATATTCTGAGTATGAGCACCTGTGTCTGAATTAACGAAATTAATAGAATGATCGACTGTGAGATGGTGATAACCCTGCTCACCAATACAGTCAAAAGCGCTCCAACAATCACTAACAATAGTGGTTCCTGGCCGGATGTGCTCTTGAATAATTCGGAAAATAGCAGCTGAAGTTCGGCTTTCAACAGGAACAACAAAAAACTGGCCAGAACTTCTTTGGAGCCCCCCAAAAATCCACTGGCCATCGATGATGCGACCTCTGTTGTACTTCCTTTTGCCCACTTTTGCCACATCAATTTCAACAATTTGACCGGGACCACCAAGCTGTGACGAGTGCTGATCAACCCAAAAAATAAAAACTTCCCTAAGAAACGAAAACCAATCAATCAAAGTTGGAAGAGACAGATTGACTTCCTGACCAATAAACCGACACCGAGGTGGCGATCGGCTCAAGTAAAGAAGAACAACATTAGCTACCTGTCGCAGCGAGAGCCGTGAATTTTCAAAAAAAGTCCCTTTATGAAAACTTACATACGTGTTGCATTTCCTGCGTGTTGTGGGATTCATCTTTTGGCAGCGAAAATACAAGCGGCCACGATTTTGAACAGTGGGGATCATCTGAGCCCCGCAAGGACAACGAGCATGACACGTTAATACGTTGTGCCGATAGAAGAAGTCTAGGAGAGACTCGTTGTTGTTTAAAACTGAATGAAATTCGTGATCAGTGACCGAACAATGCTCACATTTAACAACACTGCACCCACTGCCACTTATTGCACTTGCACTGGAAGCTATTCTAGCCATAGTTACTGTTTGAATAGCGCTTGTGAAATAAAATAAAAATTGCAATGAGTTTCCCAGTCAGCGGCAAGTTTTGTTTGTTTTCTTCAAGCCGTCGAAGTCCGGCGATAACATTATTGCTTGGGCGGCAGTATTTGAATATATTGAAACTTTGTAGGCTCTAACTTAATTTTATTTCGCTCAATAAACATTTTTCATCGAAATCGGTTATCCGCAGCGATGCCAACCAGTGCCGTAGCAACCACTTATTTGAAAAATGAATTCAGTTGCTGTTTCTGAAGACATAAAAATAATTGGGGATTCGATCCTCGCACCTTTTGGTTATTGGCCTGTCAATACGATGATTCAATCACATTACACCATTACACCGCCAACTCTTACAATCGCAAATTTTTTAGTTTAAAGTCACATTTTCGGGTCCTTCCAACAGATAAAACACTTTTTCCAAAGCAAACCGGTTCATTTAAAAGTTTAATTGCAATAAATACGGCTTTACTGACAGCTAATTTCAAACTTGATGTGTTTCTATTCACTCGTTGCCATGGTACATACATGTCTTGTCTTCAAAGAGTCGACAAGCGCCAGGGATGAATTCTAGGCAACAAATGTTGTTGATTTATTTTCGAAAGTGGAGAAGTACTGATTTAATGCGGAAAAACTTCCTTGTGGACGAAATGAATTATTGACGAATGGGTGTGAGTGAAATTTATAATTTAGGCCGACATTTTTCCAAGAGAGGGGGTTGATTTCTCACGGACGCGAGCAATGCATCGAACTCATTAAAAAGCATGGTAAAAGTTTGAGATCTGAAATAATAGACATTCTCGGCATATTTTAAGCATTTTTTGAGCGTTCGCGTTCTAAAGCCGAGGATTTTTTCCTCAATTATGATCCAAACACTTTATAATGCATATTTCTGAACTTGTTTCCTGCCATCCTGCGAGGAAGCGTCTACGCGCTTTCTTTGTTTACCTATAACGTATCAGGAGGCAGGAGTTTCAATCTAAACCAGCTTATGTTTATTATTATGATCATTTAAATGGGATTGCCATTATAAATACTACAAGAATTACCAGTGGGATTGCCACTTGTTTTTGCAAACAGTGGGATTGCCACTAATATTTGCTGGGTGCTGAAAGGTCATCAGGTTGGGT